TATCAACTCCTGAAAACCCTCCAAGCTAAGGAATCCCCAGGAGCTCCAGCCCCATCCCAACCCCAGGAAAAGCAGTTAGTGGTGATCCCCAATGAACAAAAATTGAGGAAGTTTAGTGGAAGACATGGTGAAAATGAACTGTCCATAGAGGATTTTATTGATAATGCGAAAAGCGCAATCACCTCAAGAGGACTCCCCCTCCCAGAGCAGGCGAATTTTGTACTCTCATACCTAGAGGGCCCTGCTAAAGAAGAAATGAAGCTCTATCCTAAAAGCGACCTTACGAATTCAGATAAGATCTTCGACCTCCTTCAAGAGTCTTTTGGCGAGAAGCGTTCTGTTCCCCAGCTCTTAAAAGCCTTTTACGACCGCCGACAGAGGGAAGGCGAAACCCTTCGTGCATTCTCCCATGCCCTGAGAGAACTGCAAGCCAAGATAGAAAAGAAAAGTGTGACCAAATCAACTGGCCAAGACGCAGCCCTTCGAGACCACTTCGCCGAAAATGTTAGAGATCCCCTCCTTCGAAAGGAACTCAAGAAGTTTATCAGAACACACCCAGAAATTTCCTTTCTAGACACCAGAGAGGAAGCTATTCGATGGGCCGAAGAAGACGAGAAGTCCTGTGGACCGCGCCCCAGGGTGGCTTCGTCGCATGAGACCAGTACCTCCGCTAAGCCCTCTTCCCTCGAATCAGCCATGAATGAGATGATTAAAACCCTGCAAGGCCAGCAAAAGGCTATCGAAGACCTAGCAGCCAATCTCAAGAAGCTGAATACAGTGCCCACCCACAGAGGACAGAATATACAGCCTCAGCCCCAGTTCCAGCCCCAGTTTCAGCAGCGTCAGCCTCGACCTGATGCAGGTGGCGACAAGTGTTATCAGTGTGGAGCACCAGGACACTTTGCCCGGAATTGCACAGCAAGAAGCAGACCCCCGCCCCTTCGGAACCTCACCCCCAGGCCTCCACCTAACCCGTCAAACTAGCCCCCCCTGCTGCTGAGAGTCAGGCGGCAGGAGGGAACAGTCCTGGCTCACCTTGTCCCCCGCAGTTACCTGGAATTGTTTATGAGAGAGCAGTTGGAAGTTGTCCAGTCACTACTGTGAAGCTGGGGGGAGTACATGTACGCTGTCTTCTTGACTCTGGATCACAAGTCTCCACCATCACTGAGAGTTTCTTTAATAAGCACTTCCGCCCTAGAAGAAGCAAATTACTTGACACAAACCAATGGCTTACCCTTACAGCTGCTAATGGCCTGGAAATACCATACATTGGTTACCTGGAACTAGACTTTGAAGCACAAGGTGTAACCATCCCTCAGAGAGGTATTCTCGTGGTACGAGACCCCCCGGATCCCCAGTCAAGAGCCCGTAAAGAAGCTGTGCCAGGTCTGATTGGAATGAACATTATACAAAGAATGAATCAAGAGATTAAAGAACCCAAACTCCTAGAAGACTCTGCTTGGTCTAATACACTCCAAGTTGCAGGGAAAGCTATGACGTCAGTTAGAGGATTTGCGAAGATTGCAGGCAAAAGCGATGTTAGGATCCCAGCTGGAATGGTCACAACTGTAGATGCCACTGGTTATCGAGGATTGCAGCCTGGCGAAGATGCAATTGTCCTCATCGAGCCCCTAAGAGATTTGTCATGTCATGGACTGGTAGTCATGAGCACCATCTCATCCGTCAGTCGAGGACATGTCAAAGTACAAGTTGCTAACATAGCACAAGAAGACGTTTGGCTCCGCCCCCGTGAGAGAATTGGTATAATGCATGCAGTAGCAGGTGTTCAGGATGACAACCAGGCAGTTACCTTCACACAAGTCTCTGCCAGTGAAGTAGTCATACAACCCAAGCCCGAAGAAGCCCCCAAGAAAGAAGATTCCCCAAAGTCTACACCCATTCCCCCTGAAGACATGCATTGCACCCCTGAGCAGCAAGTAAAACTTGATGAGCTCCTGGCCAAGTACAAGGACATGTTTGTTACTGATGATGATGAACTAGGCTACACCGAAACAGTAAAGCACAAGATATTCACCACAGATGACATCCCTGTAAATCAGCCTTTCCGAAGAATACCCCCCGGTCAGTACCAAGAAGCAAAAGAACACATTCAGAGACTCCTAAGTCAAGGCATCATCCGAGAGAGCCACAGCCCCTATTCCTCCCCAATAGTACTTGTACGGAAGAAGAATGGTAGCCTCCGCATGTGTGTGGATTACAGAAAGTTAAATGCAAAAACGGTTAAGGATGCTTATCCCTTACCTCGGATAGAAGAATCCTTTGACGCACTGCAGGGAGCAAGCTGGTTTTCTACCCTGGATTTGGCAAGTGGTTTCAACCAGATAGGAGTAACTGAAGAGGACAAAGCGAAGACTGCATTCATAACCCCCTTTGGTCTGTTTGAGTACAACAGGATGCCTTTTGGACTCTGTAACGCACCTGCGTGTTTTGCTCGGCTTATGCAAGCTTGCCTAAATGAGCAGATCTTCCAGATTTTGCTTGTTTACTTGGATGACATCCTGATCTTCTCGAAAACCTTTGAAGAGCACCTTGAGAGACTAGAAATGGTCCTTAAACGCCTGAGAGAACATGGTTTGAAATTGAAGTTGGAAAAGTGTACCTTCCTGCGTAGAAGAGTAACTTACCTGGGACACGAAGTATCTGGTGCTGGTATTGCCCCAGACCCCCAGAAGATAGCAGTTGTACAAGAGTGGCCAGTTCCCCAAACTGTTAAGGAACTCAGAACCTTCTTAGGCTTTGCAAGTTACTATCGAAGATTCATCGAAAGCTTTGCCAAGATAGCAGGACCCCTTCACCAGCTAGTGAACAATTCACTTCATGAACTCAAAGTTAACAAGAGACTTTTGTGCCCCTTTAAAGAGAAATGGAACCAAGAGTGCCAAGAAGCATTTGACACCCTGCGTGAGAAGCTCACAACAGCACCAGTACTTGGTTATGCAGATTACACCAAGCCTTTTATAGTGGAGACAGATGCTAGCCATGATGGACTAGGAGCTGTGCTATCCCAGGAACAAGATGGTAGACGCAGAGTTATTGCTTATGCAAGTCGTCGGCTCAGACCCCCAGAGAAAAACATGCAGAATTATAGTTCCCGTAAACTAGAGTTACTAGCACTGAAGTGGGCTGTCACAGAGAAGTTCAGAAGTTACCTGTTAGGAACAGAATTTGTGGTGTACACAGACAACAATCCCCTAAGTCACCTTCAGTCAGCCAAGTTAGGAGCAGTTGAACAGAGATGGGCAGCTGAATTAGCCTTGTTTAACTTTAAGATGAAGTACCGCCCTGGTAGAGCTAATGGAAATGCAGATGCACTTTCAAGAGTAGCACGTGGAAATCATGAAAAGGAAATCCCGCATGCTGACGATTTAGCTGAGATTCAGTTGGAAAACATTAGCGTCACGCAATCCACCCCAGTACCAGTCGAGCTAAGAGAGTTGGTGACGACCTACACCTCCCAAGAACAAATGAGCACAAGTACCCCAGAGACAACATTCACCAGCCTACCCTCTCACAGCCCAGCTGAGCTACAAGACATGCAGATTGCAGACCCCGTCATTAGTCGCCTCCACTACTACAGGCAAAACAACCGCAAACCCACCCCCCAAGAAAGAAGAGGAGAAACAAGAGATGCTGTTACATTGCTCAACCAATGGGACAAGGTTGAAGAGGAAAATGGCATACTGTATCGAGTCATTCAAGATCCCCATTGCGGCCAACGAAAGCAGTTGATCCTTCCCAAGAAACTTAAAGAGAAAGTACTCACCAGCCTACATGATGGTATGGGCCACCAGGGGACAGAGCGAACATTACATCTGATTAGAGACCGTTGCTACTGGCCGGGAATACATAGCGATGTAGAAGCATGGATAAAGAAATGTGAAAGATGTACCTTGTCTAAAGAACCATTACCACGTGTTAGACCAGCCATGGGACACCTCTTAGCTACTAAACCCTTAGAAGTTCTTGCGATCGACTTCACACTGTTGGAGCCAGCCACAGATGGCAGAGAGAACGTGTTGGTGATGACAGATGTTTTCACAAAGTTCACACACGCAGTTCCTACCAGAGACCAGCGGGCGAGCACCACAGCTAAAGTACTCCTTAAGGAATGGTTTTTCAAATATGGTGTCCCACTGAGAATCCACTCCGATCAAGGAAGAAGTTTTGAGAATGCAGTCATCACCGAACTCTGTAAGCTGTACGACATTAAGAAGTCGCGTACCACTCCTTATCACCCGCAAGGCAATGCCCAATGTGAAAGATTTAACAGAACCATGCACAACTTGTTGCGTTCACTCCCACCAGAAAAGAAGAGAAAGTGGCCAGAGTACCTCCCAGAACTTCTTTATGCCTATAATGTTGTCCCTCATGCATCCACCAGCTATTCTCCGTATTACCTGATGTTTGGCCGTAACCCCCGCTTACCACTAGACCTAATGCTTGGAGCAGACGAAAAGGATCCACCTGAAACAGACTGGCTAGCCTCCCACCAAGACCGCTTACGAGATGCTTACCTCAAAGCAGGGGAGCACCTCAGACAGCAAGCAGGTGCTCGGAAAGCCATCAGCGACAAGAGTACCAATGAACAGCCAATTGAAAAAGGCCAGTTTGTCTACCTACGCAGTCATCCTCGAGGCAGAAACAAGATACAGGATGCTTGGGATCCTACCTTGTACAAAGTTCAAGAGACGCCAGGACCTACAGGAGCTGTTTATACAGTTGCTCCAGCCCATGGAGATGGACCCAGCAAGAGAGTATATCGGACCCTGATGAGACCATGTCATAGGCAGGTACAGCCATGCCTTGACACCAACCCCATTGTGCAGACAGATTTGATTCCCCCAAGAGTGAGACATAACAGAGTGCCCACTGAACCCCAAGATGATGAAGAAGAGATAATCGTGATGAGAAGACGCCCCCGTCTTGTATTGAACACAGCACCTCCAGAACCCTGTGAGCCTGTGAACCCCGCGGAAGAATCAGAAACCAGTGAGCCCCCAGTTCCAGAAACGCCCATTGAAGCGACCCCAGGAGATCAAGCGCCCTATGCAGAACCTGAGGTTGTTGAACCTGAGATTGTTGAACCTGCCGTTCCAGTACCCCCAGTTGCAGAGACCCCCGAAGAACCAGTTCATGTGGAACACCCAGCCCCAGAGCCCCCTGAAGAGATGACCATGAGACGCTCCACCCGGACGACAGCAGGGCAGCATTCTAATCCCCATAGAGCTCCAAGATCAGCAGTAAATAACTCAGTGACATTGACTGTTAAAGACTTTCCAGTATATTTCATTTTGTTATTTTGGTTCTTAGCATATAGCCTTTGGTAAAACAAGTTTGTTAGTTTAAATAAGCATTGTTGTGGTCTGTCGAGGACGACGACCTAAGCAGGGGAGAAATGTAACCGAGCTCGATAATTAGCTCACAAAGCATTTTCTTTTCGGTATCATTTTTTTGCGGTTCCGTTTATCGTTTTCCCACGGTACGCGTTTCTTTAGTTGTGCTTTGTGGTTAGCCGTGCTTTATCTAGCTCTGTGATTTCTCCGCCTTTACACCCATAAACAGGAAAGAAATTAATTGATTTTAGCTCGCTTTAATCTGCCGCCATTGCTGTAGTTAACCGCGAAACTCTCCATTTGTTTCCTCCTATTGTATTAACAGGACACGTATGTATTCTGCGGTAAAGCGATAATAGTGTTTCGCAAACAGGCGTATTGCCAAAAGGCAGATTTCACTGTTTTGTGGCTTACCTAGCTGTAGTTGTCCAATCGTATTGCTAATAACAGGATGCGAGCTGTTTGTGTTCAGTGCGATATAAATACGCCTGCACGTAGCGTTTCTACGCATTAGTACAGTTCCAGTTCCCGCGTTCACTAGTCAAGCCGTAGGACATAGTTTTGTAGAGTTCTCCCCTCGCTGGAGTGGGTAAGTGTTCTCCTTTTGCTGTTTTTCGTAGGATGTTTTTCGTTCTCCTCCGAGGTCATCGTGTTTATGAAACGTCCAGCGACCGTAGTATTACTTTGCTGTTGTAGATTTCATCGTTTCTTGGTTTTGTTGTTTTCCGCTGTTGTATCGAGCACTTTCGCTCTGAAATCACCGTCCTTTTGTTTCTTAGCCGTTGTTATTCCTTTAGCTTAGTGTTTTGCTTAGTTTTGCCGCCGTTTTATGCGAGATCGTAGATCACAACCTTTCAGTTTGACCTCGTTTAGCGTTTGTTTTCTTGTCTTCGTATCATATGACTCCTGACACGAGTCACGTGCTATTTGTCATGCTTGTTCTTCTTTCGTGACCTAGCATGTTTCCTAGCGTGTTTTGTTTACCTTTTTGCATTTTAGTGTACTTTTGTTCTCTTAGTTGTATTGTTTAGCCGTCTTAGTAATTTTTTAGCGTCGTTGTTTCTTTTTAGCGCTATTGCCCTTTTCATCGCCCTTTTTGTTCCCTTTTTGTTGCTTTATTCGTTTTTCTAGTGTCTGTTTTTATTGTATTTCTTTTCCACTAATTGGCCATTAAATTCTTGTTTGTTTCGTATGCATTTTGTCTTTCATTGGTTGTCATTCGCTACCTCCCCTACTCGCGCGGCTCGGTCACATATAAACCAAACTGTTGTAAATGAGGGATGGTAACATGATTGAGTGCTTTGGAGAAGTGTTGATTGTTTGCTTTCACTCTTTCGATTCTTGGGCGAATGGCACTTTGGAGTTAGAAATGGGGCTCAACTTGTGTAGAAACAAGCTCTAGTCATTGCCCTTAAACTCATGACTGGATCAGACTCAAGGAGGTCTCTGTTGTAGACTCAGCTCTACCTAACATTGATTAACTGGGCGGCCTCCTCAAGGAGGTACGCCCAGTTTACAAAATTGGTCGATTCTGATTCTCCGTCAATAAATGAACTCAATAATTATTAATCCATCAACCTAGAGGGTTATCTAAGTTATTAACCCATAACCCAGATGGTGTTTCCTGTGAAGTCGCAAATCGAGCTCAATAAACAGTTACATTATACGCCCTTAGTTCCGTTAATAGTCCTCCTACTAGTCGGTTCACCACTGTCCTATATGCCAATCAAGTCCCTCTTTTCTTAGAGTGTTAACGCTCATTTCGCATCTAATTATCCTACATTAAGCCCTTTGAGACCTGACACTACACTTCCTGATCCATAAAGCATGTTTGTCCATCTTGGCTGAGTCTGTTGAAAGATTGATTTTTTTTCTTTTTAGTACAATAGGGTTTGGTGACTGAGCATTTTTGAGGTTACAGTTGTTCTCAGTATGGCTATTGTGCTAGTGTGCTATAGACCATTGGGTCTATTTATATACTGTTTAAGTACTCGATGGAAAAAAACCTGTCAGTAATCTTTAAACTTTCCGCCGTCGCAAATTGCAAATGAACTTATTCCCTTTTTATTAGATAATATTGAAGAAAGATACCAAATTAAAAGGAATGGGATTCTTGAAACGTATTAATATTTCTGTCTTACGGCACACTGCGTTTTTGTGTTGACCATAAATTATAGATTGTCGTATACTGATTATCTCTATCAGTCTCGGTTGAATATTAGGCCCATTTATCTTGATCTGTATTATAGTAAGTTGTTTCCTCTTAAAAGCTGGTCACTGTCTGTCCTAGTTAACTTATGGTTTTCCATAATTCATTGAACATTACAGTCTCTATTTAGTTATGCAATTAATCCTGTGCGGCTAGGTCCAAGAAAACAACACATCCTACTCAAAATCCTATAAGTAAAAGGGAGTAGTTTCCATATTATAGACACGTTCTATATGAAGCAATGCATGAAACACATACTTTCATGCTTGCTTACTCAGCATTTTAAATCATATTTAATTCTGGACTGTAACAATGGCTATTTATCAACTTAGAACTTACAGGTCACGTTTAGGTGAACTAAGTGTCACACTTATTCTTCAACTCTACTACCAACACTATTTTCATGGCGTGTTAGCACTGTTTTTTTTTTGTTTCATTATATTCAGCTGGGATCAATCATAAAAGGCTTAAATGATTATTTCGCCCTAATTACTCAAATTTTTTTTTTTTTTCATTTCTAAACAGCCTCAATTTTGATCTCTGAATGAAATAGCATATAAAAATGACTTGATTTTTTTAAATAGACTTAAGAGTGACTTTCCTATTTGGCATTTTATTTTGCTTCATTATTACAGCTACATGTATGTATGGCCAGCTCTCACCTTGCCAACACCATGATAATACGGAGAGCAGTTAAATACTAGGCAAAAAAAATTCAGATGTTTGACTGATATATACTCCCGCTATTACAGACTCTCAACAAAGGGAATTGACTGTACTTGTATTTTTTCATTGCATAACTTGACATTTTCTTGGAAATCTCTAATTATGTTTATAACCCTGACCATAGAGATGACCATCATGTATTAATGCCCAGTTCTATGAAATTAAAGAAGTTAAAAAAAGAATAACAAAACTAGTAATTATGATAATAATAATAATTATAAATACAGTTACAGTGGAACCTCCATTTAACAAACCTCTATGTAATGTAGATTCTTTGTTTAAAGAATAGACTAGGTCAAAACATTCTAGTGCTTATCAAATGTCTAATCGTTCAGTCAATAATATCACGTGATCGACTGCAGTTGATTTTATTCGCTGACACACGGAATATTTCGAGATTCATGACAGGTTTTGTTGTGAAAAACTCCACGCCCAACATTCTGTCTTACCAGTAAAGTATGTAATAGGGCACATGATTAAACGGACTAGCATGTAACCGTCTTTGGTTTTGTATCCTGAAGAAGGTAGCACTATTGCTGAAAAGTCGGTTCCAGATCTTATAACAGTGTCTATTTTATAATGTTGAGATATTGAAATGAACATCTTCCCAATATAACCCAGTGGTAAAAGAAAAAGATACTTTACATAGCTTGCCATTGAGCTCAGTCTTCAGTTAAATTTACTAAAAAGGGCTTAACCTTTATCCCTAAATGAGTGCTTGACCCTAGTCAGAAAAATGAGTGATTAACCCTTATTATTGAAAGTCAACGAAGACTGCACAATTAATATTATGCAAATATTTCAGTAGAAAAACCTCACATGCCCATCAGGAACTAAGCAGGAAAGACTCTTAATAACAGCTGTGAGGTAGTCATGAGTGAGACAAACAGCGAACTCGAGTGAATTTTCAACTCATACATAGTACTACGGTAAAAAATGTGTTATTGGTCGTTTCATCTATTTACATGGTTTAAGGTGCGCTTGCCGATGAAATCAACATGCAAACAAGAAATCTTGAAACTTTTTTAAGTAGCAAAATGCAAAGGAATAATTCTTTAAGTTGAAGGAAAATAACGAGAAAAAAATGTATGTAGACTGTAGACCACAAATTAGGATTGTCTATTTAAAGCCTCAGTGCAATCAACGAGGCCCATGGATGGGGATCATTTGGCCGTTGGCTGTTTGCTTTAGTAAACTTCTTGTTTTCATACAATACAATATTTTGGTTCAAATCTACCTCAATCACCATGGCAGCCCAGTGTAGTGGCTCTTTCTGCAAGTCTAGTTTTTATCCCAGCATGGTTTACAAATTGCATGGTTCGCTGGCTTGTAGATCGTGGCGCCCCTCATCCTTCAAGTATTGCATCATTTTGTCTGTGAATTTGGCCTCAAATTCTCTTGAAGTGTGGTCTTTATGCAACTTCAGTTGCATTTTATAAATAAAACGTGAAAAGAGCACCATTGGTAGAGTGCATTAATTTTATACCGTCTGCCGAAATTTGTGACTGTATATTGGTACAGTTGAACCTTCACTAATGGCCACTTCTCTACAAACAGCCACTTTTCCCCCCCGTGGACAGTTCATACGTCGACTCTGGTTTAAACCTCTCTACGACAGTAACCGGGCCACCAAGTGAGCATTCCCAACAGCCAAAATGACTTCATGACAATAGCCAGTTGTTAGAGTGACTGACTAAAAAGTCGTAAGTGGTCACAAAATTAGATCTGTATGGCATGTCAATGACTTATCACAGCAAGTCTTTCAATTCATTTAAGATTAAAAGTATATACACAATATGTATACAGTGCTAACATGAACCTTTCATTAAAACATTGTACTTAGAATACACCTCAGCCTGAGGAGTAAGTTGCTCATTTAATGCAAGTCAGACTAAAACTTTGTACCGCTAGTCGCTAATTTGGGTGCTTTTAATCTGGTGCATAGAAATGCGTG